CTAAGCATCGACACTACAGAGCTCTATTGTCACGGTGAGGGAGCGCAGCCGCCTCGCGAAGAAAACCGCTGACAAGGAGGAAACATCAGAATGTCATTTAGATGCCTTAGAAGTCACTAAACAGTGAAGAATAAGATGAAGCAAAGAAAAAGATGACAAAATAGAAATGTTAGGAAATGCTGTGGTATGGCAGAGTTATTTAAGAGGCAAGGAACTTCAAGAACTGCCATCCTTACCAAAAAAAGAAAAAAGATTTAAACTCCTATCCAACAAAGTAAAAAATAAAGTTAGCCAAACAAAAGAAATAATTAAAGAAAAGTTTAATGCTTATATCCTACAAAAGAATAAATAGTATGAAATTGGAATATCAAGTTATTGAATTAAAGAGAGGAGGCAAATGGAGTTGTAATTTCTGCTCTTTTGAAAGAGAAAATGGCTCAACTGCCACTTATAAAGCAGTATCTTACAATAATAGTTGTAGTGATGTTGCTTATATTTGTATCAAATGTAAAGAAGCTCTTGATAATAATGCTCTACCCCATTGTAATGATTGTGGTCGAGTTATGAGAAACGGAGTAGACTGCTTCTTCTGTTTAAGTAAAGATGAAACAAATAAAACTCCTTCAACAATAATGGAAATAATGGCACAAAGTTATTACTATGTGGGCAGATTGGAACAACAGAATAAAGATTTGAAACAGCAACTAACCAATGCCAAGGAAGAAATCAGTTCTCATTTGGAAGCCTTGGAAGTTTCAAAGAATTGGCACAATAACCAAAAGCAAGAATTATTAGATAAAATTCAAAGACTTGAAAGTGAAGTTGAGCAATTAAAAAAACAGCAAACTAAACTCACTGCTCAGATTGAAGTTAAAAAGCCTAAGAGGTGATCTTGGTTAAATGTAAGAAAGTAATTAGAATAAATTATTTTGTTTTATCAAGTTATTCTACTAGTTTTCTTTTCTTTCTTGATTTTTGACTAGAATTTTTATGCATTCTTTTGAAAACTCTTTCCTCTTGATAAACTTCATAAGTAATTCTTTCTTTGTCTAAATATGCTTGCAAAGACTTGGTTTCTGTTAGTTTGAAAATGTAAGGCGCAATTTTTTCACCTTGTTCTTTCTTTAAAATGCTTCTGATTGTGCTGTAATTCTTGGGTTCCATGGTTGATTTGATGTAAATTAATTTCATATTTATATTTTATATAGGGATAATCCTATAACAATATTAAACATGTTAGAACAGATACACAGCAATAGTCATACAGTATATTTACGTATATATTTTTTACTGTATTTGCTCATTCATGCTAACTTATTTGGTATTACATCAAGGTTAATTTATTGCCAAGTACTTTTTACTCTGCAATTCCAAGCACTTTATTTGTTCATGTGCACAATTAAGAATTAGATATAAAAAATGTCCTTCAATTTCTTATATACAGTACAGTATTACAAACACAGCTATTCATTTTGCAAACAGTGTTATAGTGATTACCATTATGTAAAATCATTCAAACAATCAAGATTATTACTGTATGACTTTCTAGAGACCCTCTTTAAAGCTCTTGATCCCTTGATGTTTGTCACAGTCTCACATACTAATTTCTAAAATAACAGATATATAATTAGAAAAAGTCCATTTATCATAATTGATAAATCCAAACAGGATACTTACTGCCCATTTGATAATACACTCATAAAAAAAAATGAAATCAGGCATTTCAGAAAAATCCCTAGGCAGAGTAGCATTGTCCACTTCATTCAGTCAGAATCTCCCTAATATTACAAAAATATTATTACTTCAAAACTGAAATCACTATACACAAATCTAGATATGAACATACCACAATAATCTAAATATAGCAAGAAAATTCGTGACCAGAAGCTTTGCCCTCCAAAAACTGCCATTTTTTGTGGTAGCCGTCATCATGCATGAACATGTTCTTTCACGATGTGGACATACATTTTCCTCAGATTTCTTCCAATCTTTTTAGCATCTGCTATTTCTTTATCAGCTTTTGCATCAAGCCTAGCACCTTCAACATAGATGAGTTCAAATTTGTCTGCAGTGGTCATGAAACCTGCCCCATCAGAACATTCGCGATTGACATGATTCCATGAAGGAATTTCTCCAGCCATGTAATTAATTGTGGCAATGTGCCAAAGTGCTGCTTCTAGATATGGGTGTATAAAAGCATTGAGGTGAGTCTTCTCAATAGAGGTGAGATCTTGCAATGGATTTGCTGGACCCAATGAGAATGCTTTTATGCTGAAAAGACAAAATTGTTTTTAAGTAGTACAAGCTCTAGTAAACCATGACAGCATTTACTTACAAAATGGGCAGTGTCCTTCTTAGAATTCTTAGAGTTGCAACCATCAACTCATCATTACTATCTGGACAGCAAAGGTCATCCACTTGGAGCTGCCACTCAGAACTTGAAAGATTTTGAGAAAAAAAGGTCACAAGGAATTCATGGATTTTCTGAGGAATGAGAGATTCTGTCCTGCTATCCATTTCATCCAGATACACCAGCCTTGTGTCAGGAGATAATTGCTGCAAGAACTGTGATTTCAGTCGTAAGTCAATGAGATCACTGTCTGGATAAAGCTGAATGTAAATTTGTTTCTCAGTTTCAGAACAGTCAATCTCTGTATTAGTATTGAGTATATCTTGAGCTGTTTTGTGAAATTGCTGTAGACGAATAGAAATAACATTTAAATGGCTTTCCCAACTTGCAGAGTCAGTTACAGATACTTGCCTCTTCACTATTGTCCCGATGCCTCTTCAACGTGCCTCTAGGCATTGAATTTACACTGTCAACTAACTCACTCACAGAGTCTTGTAATGAACTGTCATCTATTGATGCATTGGCATTTGACTCTGATACACTACAATCTTGCATATTTAAGTCATCAGTCACCTGTTGGACATCTGATTTCTATCAGTGATGGAAATTATTTAATCAAGCTATCAAACCATGCATTATGCAACAACTTAATTACCAAAGAAACAGAAGAAAGCTGATCATTAACAATGGAGATCTCCACTTCTGATTTGTATAATGATGTTTTATTGGTGAAACTTTAGATAGGATACGTTCCATTGCACGCACTGATGGCTGGTTCATTGCAGTTAAAATTATTTCATCATCTGGTGAGTCAATATCATTAGCAAATAGCGGGGTTGGTCGACAGTGCAAAAAATTATAATCTACAAGTGAATCAACTTGTTCAGAACCAATTGCTTTAATCAAATCATCTTCTAAAATGTACCCTTGATCTTCTGCCTTCACAATTGCTTCCATGGTTTTGATTAAATCATAATCTTTCCAAAGTGGTGGATTGGGCTTATCTGAATATCTCAATTTCTTAGGATAGAGGCCATGTTTCAACTTATTATATTCTGATAAGTAAATTGAAAATCTGCTATCTGTAAATCAATTTTTCTAAAACTCTTTAGATTTTTTAAAATTAACAAAAATGCATATCCTTTAAAAACAAAATAGAAATAGACATCTACCCCAGGCCCCTTTGACCGCTTTATCCTCTCCCACCACCCTGCTCCATAGTTACTAATATACTAACTGCTCAATAAACTAATAAAGGCACCTAACTCTTCTATCTAAACCATGTCTAAACCTGCCCCAATGTGGGCTAAAGTAGTTGAACAGTCTAGTGCTGTCCCTACTGATAAAGAACTGTTTGCTCGCTCCGAGTGTACAGTTTCGCTTTCAAAATATGTCCCCTTTAAGAAAACCCCCGTCCCGTCAGGCAAATACCCTGTGTTTTTTGACCTGTCCATAACCACAGCATCTCATGATGAGATTGCCAACTCGCTCCCTTCTGGAATCCTTGGGGTCCACTGGAGAGTGGATATGAACATCCTAGAGGTGGATGTCCTGACAGAGGAGGAACAAGGCAAACTCCTTGCAGAACCCCTCCAGATTGAAAACCATCTTGCCCT